AATGATAAGAATGTCCTGGTAGGAATGCACATGTCTTCACAGAAACTGATATATGAAGTTACAGTCTCTGTGAGCTCGTCCAGCTCGGTGGCTGCAGCTTCAAAAACACTCCAATCAGTGAGGTCGAAACAGGCTTGTAAATCACGCTCTGCTTCATTAGTCCATCTTTTAACAGTCCTTAAAACAGGTTTAGCTGATTTCAGTTTCTGCCTGTAGGTCGGTATTAGATGAACCAAACAGTGATCAGAGAGCCCCAAAGCTGCTCGTGGGACAGAGTGATATGCATCCTTTATTGTAGTGTAACAGTGATCCAGTATATTACTGTCTCTGGTGGGTAATATGCAATATGCTGCTTGTATTTTGGCAGTTCACGGGAGAGATTTGATTTGTTAAAATCTCCAAGAATGATTAAAATAGAGTCTGGGTACCTTTGTTCCATTTCAGTTATTTGTTCGGCCAGCTGTTGCATCACGGCGCTCACACACGTGTCCGGAGGAACGTACACATTCACGAGAATGAAAGAGGAAAACTCCCGCGGCGAGTAGAAAGGTTTACAGTTTATGAAGAGTGCCTCTAAGTTAGGACATTCCACCACCTCTCGTTTTCCCTGTTAACTCCACGATGCGATCCGCTCTGAACAGCTGGTAGCCCGACAGATGAAGCGCGTTATCCGTAATGGCTTCTCTCAGCCAGGTTTCAGTGAAGTACCGTACAGCAGAGTTTGAAAAGTCCTTGTTGGTCAGGGGGAGGAGAAGAAGTTCATCTGTTTTGTTAAGAAGGGAACGGACATTCACGAGATGAATGCTTGGGAGCGCAGTTTGAAAGCCGCGCTTGCGGAGCTTAACCAGGGCACCGGCGTGTTTCCCTCTTCTGCGTCTACACGCACGTTTGAACAACAGCTGTTGGAGTTCGTCTCTGGTAAAACTTATAGAAGAAGAATGACAAAACACAGAACAAACAAACAAAAACATCAGAAGAATTGCGGAGCTCAGCGTCGTGGCTGCCATTTGCGGCGCCATCTCGATGTATTTGTGAGATAAAAGGTTGCCGTGACCTTTTTTATTTTTTTATTATGGAAATGGGCTTCCATATGAAAATAACATTATAAAATAATAATTAAATCACAAATTATTTAGAAGACATGGCCACCCAGATGGTTCTCCGGTAGTCCGAGAGCCCCTCTGTTGAGACAGCCCGTCTCAGGTGTGTCTGTCCTCCATGCTTACTCACCTGACATCTTACACATTCCTGACACATTTTTCCCACAGAGCAGGAGGTAAAGTGATTCCTGCAGGCATGTAGCTGTCATTGGAGGCATGCGTGCAGTTGTCAGCTGTGAGTGAACGGCCCTGTTTCAGCTGCCGTGGGGTGGGGGCTGGGGCCGGGCCTGCCGGGATGCAGGGTGGAGAGCAGACACCCTCAGGAAAGCCCCAAAGCAATCGCATCCCAGCAGGCCCTGCCATACAGTTGCTCAAACTTGATCTAGTTTCCACATTAGGGGTCAAAACTCTGTCCGGCACAGACGCAGAAAGGACATACTGCACTTGAGGCTTACAATTAATTAAATATGTCATCTTTCTTTTTTTTTTAGCAATTAATTTGTCTGTATTTCTCTCTCTTTTTGGAAACCACAGCAAATGAGAAGATTGAGGACATTAATGGATGCCCCAAGAGTCGTTCTCAGATGGTAAGACCTTGCGTTTTATTGCCTTCTGGTTGTGTTTTTTACTGCCAGTGTATTTTTATAATGACTTTAATGCACTTTTGTTCATTAAAATATATTGTTAGATCTGTCCAGGGAAACATTAGGTACTAATATATACTTTTAAAGTTCTTGTATGTACCTTTAAGATATTAATATGTACCATTTAGGAGTAAATCATGTACAAAGATGAACCTTTTAGCTTTTTTACCTTAGGATACACCCCAGTGACTGCTTTGTACCTTTTTTTTTTGAAGAGTGTAATACAGTAGATTCTCGCTGATGTTGCCAGCAGGCTTATGGATATGCACTTTAATACTGTTATTTTTGCTTCTCTTGCAGTCTCTCTTTATAAACATCTGGTTTAAGGGGGGTAGTTTGGCTGAAACTTTAAAAAACTCTCAAAACCATCAGTAAATGTGTAGGTTTGGAGGAAGCACAAGCCAGATTACAGACATAAAGAGCTATTTTAGCCAAGCCAAAGCTAAGCAAAACAAACCCTAGAAGTCTGAGTATCACTGACGGTCGTATCACACATGAACCAGGGGCAGCGGTTGGTTTTGACTTGTCTCGATTACAAAGCCGGCTGTAAAGCCTGTTTGGACGCAACAAAGGGATCATTTTCAAAGGGCTTGAGGTCTATACGTGCGTTTTGTTGTTATTGGAGGTTCTGATTGTAATGGTGGTCCGTTGAGGCATTGCTCTTGTTTTGACAGTGATGAAACCCAGCGGAAAGCAGCGTATGTTGGGTTTGGAGGCTGGTGTGTTGCGTTCTTTGGCCAACTAGCTTTAGAAGAAAGATAATGCTGCTGTAGTTGGTAAGGATGGGAATCCTGAGGAATTTAAAGATTCTGGTTCTGATTCCAATTAATGATTCATATTTCTTGACAGTCCAAATATGGATTCTTTTAAAGAAATGAAATGTTTGGAAAAATAAACATGATGTATTCATTTTTAGAGTTTACGAACAAATATAAACTACCGTTCACAAGTTTGAGGTCAGTAAGATTTTTAAATGTTTTTGAAAGAAGCCTTTTATACCCACCAAGGCTACGCTTATTAAAATCGGAAATACAGTAAAAACAGTAATATTGCAAAATATTATTACAATTTAAAATAACGCTTTTCCCTTTTAATATATTTAGTATATTACAAGGGATGTAACGATTCACTCAACTCACGATTCGATTCAAGGTTTTGATTTCACAATTCGATTCGATTCGATTCACGATTATTATTATTTTATTTTTTTTAACAAAATGAGATTTAAGACAAATTATAAATTAAATGTGTCCTTTTATTATTGCTTGGACAAAATGATGCACATTTCTTTGTGAAATTGAAATATAACACCATAATAATATACTAATTTAGCACTTACATATTATTGCTCTTTTGTTGGTTTTGATTGCTTCTATTGTCCTCATTTGTAAGTCGCTTTGGACAAAAGCGTCTGCTAAATGACAAAATTTAAATATAATGTAAATGTAAATAACAAAACTACATTGAAATTTTAAAACAAGCCCCAAATCAAATAAATAAGTAACACAAATAAAATAAATCTCTTCATATAAACAAACTATGGCTTTGTCTGTGCTCTTTCCATTTAAAATTAGAGGCAACCACTGCATTTTATTCATGACCCAAACAAAGATGCTGCATACATGCAACACAAGCAGTTTTTAATCTAAATAAGATTGTATAATTTCGAAATTTGAAGCAAAAACAGAATGATTTGACTTCAGTTTTGTGAAACTATACATAAAAATATCTGCATGAAACAGCTGACGAGCTGAATGAGACACAGATTCACTCTCTGCCAGCAGGTGGCGCTTAAAGTGTTTCCTTGGTTTCCGCTGTAAACAAAGCAGCGCTGCACTTATGAACTTTAATATGCGTTATTCAGAGGCAAGATGAAAAGAAAAAATACCATCTAAACTTTTCTAAAGACAGTAAGTTCCCCTCAGACACATTTATATAAACTCCTACACCTAAATGAATCGCGATTTGTTTAGCATCTCAACCGATTTGAATCGTCACATAATTGAATCGATTTTCAACCGGCTCGTGGTTAATTGTTTCATCCCTATATATTACATCTATTTTAATAAATGGAAATCATTCCTGTGATAGCAAAGCTGAATTTCAGAAATCATTCTTCATAAGCTGATTTGATTCTCAAGAATCATTTATTTTTATTATCAATATTGCTTAATATTTTTGGAACCCGTGATAGAAGTTATTTATTTATTTACCAACCAGAATAGAAAACTTTTGTAACATTATAAATGTATTCACTGTTGCTTTTAATCAGTTTAATTATAAATTGTATTAAAAGTAATAATTTCTATCCCAAACAAGCAAACAAATAAACAAATATACATAATATTTTTGTAAAAGGAGTGTTTACACAGATTTTTGTAATGAGATTTCTCATGCTTTTTAGATGTGGCATCCCATAACTATATATTAAATAACAATACTAAACAAACAAAAAATAGTGTAACATATTTAATTAATTTATTAGTTTATCTTTTATTAAAAAATAATGCCACTGATTACAATTGCATAATGTGTATCTTTAATCACATAATAAAGTAATGACTTGCGGTTCAATAAGTGAGTCAGAACAATTCAGTAAGCACTCTGATTCAAGTGTTTTGATTCACAATAACCAACTCATAAGAGTCATTCATTCAGGAATTGGGCTTCATTGGTCTCACTGCATGTTTTGGATTCACTAAAATGAACCGACTCACAAGAGTCATTCATTTAGCATTTTGACTCTGTGATTGAAACTGAATAGTCATAGTGCATTAATAGAACCAAATATTGTGAAGATCATTTAATCCTGATACTTTTATTTTTTTAAATGTAACTGTTCAAATGAAGGACCTGTTCTCGTTTCCCAGCCCAACCTTTGCTTCGACCAGCTTCACAAAGAAAGTTTGGTGGTCTTCTCAGATGTGAGATGTAGATTAGGGTTTGGGGCTAAGTTGAGTGGCCAACCGCAGGAGCTGATCTCTCTTACCCCTCTCTCTCATTGCTATCTCTCACTGACTTCTCTTTCTCTGGCTCCATCAATTAGCTCCGTCCCCTTAGCAGAAAATTGCACCGTAATTTACTACTTTTAGACACACACTGTCTTTGTGTTCCCATTTTCTTTCTCTTCTTCTTTTCATCGCTTACAGTTTTCTCTCGTTCTGTAGCTGCGTGAATGCTCAGGTCTTTTGAATTCGTTCTTCTTCTATAACTCAGCCGGTGGTGACTGTACGAGTGCGTGCATAAATCCACTTGTAATTGTATATCTCAGCAGGCATTCTGTATTTATGCAGTTTTCCTGTATGTGAGTCACTCTAAAGCTGTTTAAATTCCGTATTTGTTTGTGCGTGTGTGTCTTTAGCTAGGAAGCAAAGCACTGCTGGAAGCAGGTGCAAGCAAAGCCATTATGCAAATATCATTGTGTGTTTTTATCAAGAGCAGGAATTGCACATCACTCTGTGAATGGGCCTCTAGCAACAGCTTACGCTGGACATACAAGCTCTTGTGTTGATTAGCATAAAGATCCATTGGGCAAAGTAATATCATTGCGACTGCTAATTGCTGACATGATACTTAACCTCAGCATTCAGATATTTAAATATGTAAACACATTAAGCTAATCAATGGAGGGGTTTTGGCTCATATTGTAAAACCGAGGAGTAGAATTTGAATGCGTTTGTCACAATAGCTTTGGAGGATCATAATATTGATGCAGCATGAAGCATATGCTAACTTTTATGGAACAGTTTAGTTTTAGTTTAAAAACAGTTTTAGTTTTTTAACAGTGTTCAGAATGAAATGCGGTACACAGCCCATTTGCATCATATTTTCAGGAGAAATATGGAATTAAACTGTCAAAAAATAAAGAATGGGCATTACATAAGAGACTTGATAAAGCTGACCAGAAAAGTAAGTGGTGGAGCAATTCATTACAGTTTGATTAAAATGACAAAACAATTCAAAATAATAATAACATACACTTGAGTCATGCAAAAAAATTAGCAACATCCAATGAGTCATGCAGGAAGGTATATTTTTTTAATTATTGTTTTTGAAAGATGTCTCTTATGCTCACCCAGGCTGCATTTATTTCATAAAAGATATGGTAAAAACTATTTAGTTTTTTAAATTTAAAATAACTGTTTTCTATATCAATATATTTTGAAATGTAATTTATGCCTGTGAATGCAAAGCTGAATTTTCAGCATCATTACGGCAGTCTTCAGGATCACATGATTTGGTGCTAAAAATCATATCTTGAAACAGTTGTGCTGCTTTTTTGGTAATTTTTTTTTCAGGATTATTTGATAAATAGAAAATGTGTTTGCTTTTATTAATTTACATTTTTTTGGTCAAACCAATATATTTTTGGGTTCTTAACAAAATATAAATAAATGGCAAAAAAAAAGTGTGATATTTTTGTGTTAAACACATATCGCTGTACTGTCAATATCAGCTGCTTAAACCTTTCCTAAATAAATGTGGATTGTTATTCTATTGAAACAATATATGTGTTACCCCTGGATATTGTGTGTTCATGTGATAGCTATTTCAGCAGTCTGGGCCAGCATCAGATTCTCTTATTCACCTTTGGGACTGTTTTTACACCTGCTCGTTCCTTCTGATCCCTCTCAGACCATCTCCTCCTCCCCTTTAACCCACCAGCAGTTCAGACAAAGCAAAGCACAAGATTGCAGCATTTATGTCATTGGCTGTTGACACAGGGCTGCTAAAACACACAGGAAATCTCAGTGTTGTAACTCTAGTGGTGCGTATTGACACAAAGATGGTTGATTCAGCTGAGTCATTCTCTGGTCACATGTCTGGTGGAAGTTAGCGAAGCAGTTAACATCACTTAGAGCAGCTTAAAGTCATTTACTCTATCACAAAAGATCATAATCCTAATCATTGCAGAGATCATATTGACAGGAGGTTTGCCTGTC